CCGGCCTCCCGCCGGTCCGTCGGGCGCTCCCGGTGTCCCCGCGGAGCTGCTCCGTGTGCGGATGCTGCGGCGGGTGATGGACCTGGCGGGCGCTGCTTCGCCTTCGCCTGGTTAAAGTTCGCTCCCTGCCTTAAACTGGGGCTCGTGCGGGGAGGGCAAGATCCTGGAAGGGCAGTCCTGGAATCCTGGAATTCCGGAGTGGTTCGGGTGGGAAGGGACCTGGAAAGCCCATCTCCGCTAGACCGGGTTGCTCCAGCCTGTCCTTGGACGCTTCCAGGGATGGGGCAGCCTGGTAACACTGCTGATGTGCAGTGGGATGGCATCCTGCATCCCTTTCCCCCAGGCGGCTTTTCCAGGCTCTTTCCTGAACCACATTCCCTCGCTGAGCACCCACCCGAGGTGCTTCTGACACTCGGGTAACACCCGGGAGATCACCGGCTTGTCCTGCAGGGTGAATCCACCCTGTGCTTCCTGACACATCTTCCCGCTCCATAAACGAGATAAACCGTGCTGGAAACCCCACAGCAGATAAATTTATCCTTTTAGGATGTGTTCTGCATGGCAGGGAACCCCCCGGCCCACCCCCCTTTGGAAGGACACCCCCAGGAGTGGAGGGAGTGGTTAAATTGGTGTTGGTGGGAGCGATGTCCTGCTGTGTGTCATTTCCAAAGGTTGGGGATTATTCCATAGTTCATAGTTACCAGCTGATCTGGATCTCTGCTGCTGGGCAGGACTGGGATACAGGTCCTGCAGGCACTTATGAGTGGTTTCTCTCCTTTTTTTCCCAAGAATAGATGTACTGATGCTGTGGGGCAATGATTCCCTTTGATTTTTTTCAATAGAATAGAAGATTTGCATTTATTCTGGGCCCCCATGTCACTTGTGTTAGAAGGCAGCTAAGTAGTCTTCTGGCTGGCAGAGAAACCCCTGATTGCCTGGCTGAAGAATCCTGGATTTTCTGCTCTTTATTCCTAAATCTCCTCCTTGTAGTAGCTGCTTTCCAGTGCCTTAGAGAATTCCATCCTGTTCTTTTCCTGGCCTCTTGAATCTAACCTGAAACAGCACCTTGACACCAACCAGCATCCTCCCAAAAGTGGTTTCTTTAAAACTTAAAGGTGTTTTCATCATCCTAAAATACAAACAGTGTCAAAATTGGTGGATTAATGCTGCTCTTACCTATTCTTTCTGTTTGTGCATTTGGTTTTGGTGGAAAGAGTAGGAATTTCAGCTTTCCAAAAATACGAGTTGTGATACCAGTGGCTGCTTGTAAAAATGTGTAGTTGGTTATATCCTGGGTTTTTTTTTCCCTGGGGAAAGTTCCCTGTCTGCAGGACCCACCCTGGAGCATGAAGCAATGGGACTTTAATGTGCATTTCTTGTGTGAACACACAGTATCAGTGAGTCAACCCAAAATTGTATCACTGTCAGTTCCTGCAGGCAGGGAGACACTGGCAGTTTAAATACATTCTTTAAAAGATAAATTCTTTCAAATAAATACTGGAGTAAACCAGAATATTTTAGTAAATTTATGGCTTGTTTTGTTTACAAAAGCTTTCCTTTTTCACTTGGATAGTGAGATTATCCAAGACAACTATTCCATTATTTCTAGGAGAGTGTGGCACTGAATCCCAAGTGTGAAAGCACCAGGTTTTGTTTTAAGTACAGAATTTATTAAACATCATCACCGCTGTTTTCAAATAGTTTGTAATTTTGTCCTGAAGAGGTTTAAAGATCCACTCATCCCAGATTACATGTGACCTTTCCAAGCAGGTTGCTTTGAGATGAAAATTTTGAGGAAAATTTAGAAACTTTTTTAGTCAAACACCTGGAGTAGGGGGTTGTTTTGAACTTCTGAGCTGGATTTTTAATGTCCTGGATGCTATTTCCCATTCCTGGAAGCTTTT